CCCCGCGAGCTTGTAAGTCATAGCCTTTCCAAGATTGAACATTGAAAAGCAGCCGCAAGAAATGTGCATCTTTCATTTCGAGGGGCAGCATTGAGAACGTTTAGATTCCAGCTTTCTGCTGCTTGGCAGTGAAACTTGTCAGGAAGATGCTTCGCAAACACACAATGACACACGCATACAACCCCTAAACCCTAATCCCTACCCTAAACCCTACAGAAAGGCACTGCTGCAGTCAAGGCTCTGGCCCATGGTGGTCGTTGTGGTGGTGGCCTTGCAAGAATCAAGGGGCTAGAGTTTCCAGCGGCAAAGACCCTTAAACCAAAGCACTTGAATTGTTCGATGGAACTGGCAGGCCGTGGCCTATCCCAAACACGGACTCCTGACCCTAAACCCTGAAACCTGAACCTTAAACCCTGAGCCCTAAACCTTAAACCCCTAACCCTACACCTTGAACCCTAAACCTTAAACCCTAAACCCTAAGCCTGGAACCCTAAACCCTAAGCCTCAAACCCTAAACCCTAAGCCTTAAACCCAGCATCTTCAAGACGGAGCCATGATTCCGTCTGTCCTTTTTGCACCTATTATTCCGGGTTTAAAGGGGCCTAACCGGGTTATATTAGGTTATATTGGGGTTATATAGGGATTATATAGGGATAATGGAAAAGAAAATGAAAACTACTATTCTTTTTGTAATCCCGTCGGCTCTTTTGTGCCCAGCATGCGCTCGGGATTGCTGTGGAGCTGTTTGCCATCAGACTTAAAAGAGGCCCCCCTCACTGCTTTACCCTCATGATTCATCGGCGGGTTTAGGGTTTAGAATTTAGGGTTTAGGGTTTAGAATTTAGAATTTAGGGTTTAGGGTTTAGAATTTAGAATTTAGGGTTTAGGGTTTAGAATTTAGGGTTTAGGGTTATATAGGGGTTCTATAGGGGTTTTATTGGGGGTTATATTGGGGATTATATTGAGGTTATATTGGGGTTATATTGGGATAATGGAAAAGAAAATGGAAATTACTATTATAGCCCATCTTCGCAGCAGCCCAGCAGTGAATCGCAGTGGCTACTCGGTTCCGTCTATTTCTGTCTGCTCGATCTATGCTTTGCCGTTCGGCTCTTTGCATCCTCCTCTTTTCCTTTCCGTCTGTTCCGGTCTACCCTTTGGGAATTGCGGAGGTTGTGTAGTCCAGTCCAAAAACAACCATTTCCGCAGGCGTCTGCCGCTTTCCTGGTTCAAAATCGTGCGCAAGTCCGCACATGCTGCGGATCGGCCTGGCATGTCTGAGTCTGTAGGCCCCACTTACCATTGCGCTGGCCAAAGCATTCACGGGTCGTGGTTGTGTCGTCTTCCCGGTCGAGCCAGTCTATGCGCTGAGTCCGTCCTTCCTGTTTTTTTTTGACAAAACATACCATGGTCCTCAGATCCAAATACAAGAAGCCTCTACCCAGCCCTTCAACGAAAGAATGCCGAAGAAAATCTGATGGCTAGCAAGCCGCAAGAATTTGAAGGCGTGATAACCAAGAGTGCTGAACGTCAAAAAGAGGGGGGCGAAGTAGACTCTAGAGAGCCCCAAACTCGCATAGGGGTGCAGTACTTCATGCCTGCTGTAGGAGACCCTCAAGGAACCTAACCCTGAAAGCGGAAAGAAATAATGGCTGGCAAAATCTAAACCCTAATGCAGGTCATGCAGAAACTAACACACCCCGTGGCCCGCAAGGTCTAAAAAGCAAATATGACTCAAACCCTGTACGAAACCCTGACGTTCGTGATGCTGAGCAAACCCGAAACCGTTCGAGCCCTAAGGCAGGCGATTGCCATCAAACTCTAAATCTCTAACAGAAGGATAGCTAGCAAGCAAAAAGCCCTGAAAGGAGTGGCTAGCAAGCCCTCAGCAAAGCCCAATCCTCAGAAGAGTGTTTGCTAGCAAATGCCGAAAGTAGCGATGGCTAGTAATCCTAACCCTTTACAGAGTCTTGCTTAGCAAATCATTCATCAGTCTGTTTCTCCTGCAGATCTGGCCCCAGCACATTTGGGGGGGCAGACCCTTGGGCAGCTTCTATGCTGGCTCATTTTTTTTTTGCCGGATATTTTTGTTGGTGAGGGGGGCTGGTGTTTGGTCTTTCCATGTTTGCTCTGTAACAGCGCGTGGTTGATCTGCTGGCTGTTGTTTGCAAGTGGTTTTCTGAGTTGTTGGCCGTTTTCGGAGGTCTTACGGTCGTTGTCTACTGCATTTTGGGTGATTAATTTGGCGTTTTCGAGTTTGCTTTAATCACAGATTACTCTTTCAGTCTGGAATGTGAGTTTTTTTGTTCGACAAGTTGGTTTCTAAATTTAGCTGGGTCCATTTCCACTAATGCCGTGTTTCCTTCGTCAGCGTCTTGTGTCCTGGGTGCTGCGATGTTGTCCGGAATTCAAGGCCGACACCAAGTCGCGGTAGCCCACACGTGTGGGGACAAGCCGGTCGACGAAAAGCAGCCTTTACTTACTTACTGGGGGTTAGTAGGGAATATGGGAAAATATTAGATAGGGGTATACAGGGGATATATTCCTTTAGTTCCTACTAACCACCAGTAAGCTTACAAGCTTAAATAGTGCAAGATTTTGTGGCAAGCGCAACTCTGAGAAATCTCTCCAGCCCATCTTTGCCCTTCATGCCCGAACAGGTGCAGCCCTACGCTCAAACGGACATAAACTTCTTCGAATTCATGCTCATACTGGCAGTCCCTCAACGCTAAAACATACAGACGGAGCCAGCTACATGCCAAGGGGGTTGAACTGTCCAGCAGAATATCCCGCGAGCTCCATTGGTTTCAGCCAGGATACAGCACTACCCACCAGAGCAGCCTGAACCAGCGCAAGCGTTCGCAAAGGGCATCATCAGGCCGTACATCCTCTGGAAGAGCAGCTTTGAGAGCAAACCTTAGATATCCCCACAAAGAGACCTGCTGTGCCACAGCTTTTTCTGGCTTGTTCTTCAAAGGCACGGTGACAGCTCCCACCAAGTCCAGTCCGAGGTTTCCTCATCTGAAGAATCTGACTCCGATGGCGATGGCGGCTGCGATGTCTGCATGCTCTCCTCGGTGAAAATGAACAACTTGGAGGGCAGTTTTCCGATGGCGCGCCATATAAGTTCGCGGCATGAGCTTCCGCCAGCCGTGGAGTCAACGGTCACTAAGTCAACTCATCGGACAGCACAAGTACCTTGCATCCGACGTGCAATGAGACGTAGTGACATCACGAACTCCTAGTCCTAGCCCCAAGACATGAGGGTCAAGCCGAAAGCCAGGCTAACAAAAGAAAGGCGGGTCTTTCTTCGGTACAGAAGGAGAGGGTAGTTTTCTTGCAACCACCAGGAATAGCGGTATTCGTATCATGATTAGTGATCCGTTCCGGAGGAGGAAGGAATTATGCAACCAGGCATGATGTTTCTTTACCATGTAAGTGCAGCGAACACTACAGGAGTAAGGCGGTTTGATGCAATCACCAACCAGCATGCCAAGACCATTGACGTTTCAAGTCTAGTGAGCACTACAGTACCAAAGGCCATAGTATTTTTTGATGTATCATTTCCAATGCTACGTAAGAATGTATTTTCTGTGAAAGAACCAGTTTTAACCCACCTACCCACCCACTCGCAGAGCCGTTTCCTCTGAGTTTTAAACCATGAATATCAATTTCCCCACGTCTCAACCTTTGATAGAATCAACTAGAAGCCAAACCCTAAGAATGCCACTGAGATGCTCCTCAAACGACATGACTTCTAGGACTTGAGCCAGAATTGCGAGGGCACAATGCTCGTGATCTTCGGGCACCGCATTTTGCTTACATTGCATCACAATTAACAAGCACAATGATCTCAATATATCTCAATATTGGTTTCACACCGCCAGGCTGAACCGCAAGTTCCTGCCTGCTTCATTCGCTGGTGGGCCTTCAGCATCTCCTGGCAATTGGGGGATGGCGCTTGTCCCGGTTCAGTACCTAGCTGCCTAACCCAGGCACAGCAGGAGCACGCACAACACATCATGATTAAAGGGAATTGCCTGCTGCGCAGGCAGGGCGGCTCCCTCGTCCTCCCATGCTTCAAGATATGTTTGGTGAGACGATTCTGATAACTTTCGCGCTCATGTCAAGTCAACCAGAAAAAGCAGGTCTCCTGCAAGGCCTGTGCCTTTCTGGCCATGGCCTGTGGTTGGGAGGCCACGTGTTAGGTTTAGTTTAGACACGAGTGCCCATGTCTTTGTGGTTACACTGCAAACACAAGGCCCAGCTGCAACATGAGTTGCCTTGCCTGAGACTCCTCCGCAAGCCGGTCTACTGCGTTGGCGGCAGCCCTGGCACTCTGAAGCTGCAGCGAACGCGGACAGGGCAGCTGTGACTAGCTGAGCTGGGCACTGCGAACGTGCTAGGGACAATTGCACATTCTTTTGAGCTCGGTCGACGGCTGGCGCAACAAGCAACAAACACAAGCTGAAAGCGTCCACGAAAGTGCTACAGCCCCTCCCACCTTGTTGGTAAGGCTCCTTAGATGAGGTCGATCACTCAGTGCCAGGCGCTGCTCTCGCAAAAATACAACGCCTAAATGAATATTGCTCTCTTTTGCTCTGCCATGGCGCAGCTGCTTCGGCTCGCTTTGCGGCAAGCTGCTGCTTCTGCTCCTGCTGGCGAGAGCCCTGACTGATGATCGAGCACACAAGAAGTCGGCTCCTGCTCGACCGGCTGTGCAGCTCTTCCTTGGCGAGGAAGGCAACAACTTTCGCTGCAACAGCACTTGTTCCTCTCAAAGCATCTTGCATGACTTACTAGGGGCCGCACTCTCAGCCGCGGAGTAGGCCTCTTTCTGGACCTGCACATCTTCTGTCTGACTACGCAGGGCAGGTCCCCTGACTGCCAGAGACTGGGCGTGCCTGCTCCTCAATTGCCTTCGTAACGGAAGCGGCAGCTTCCTGCGGCAGCTTCCTGAAGAACAGAAGCATGTCTCAATTTAGCCTACACGGACAACACTACACCTTTCCAGATGGCCTCAACTGCGCTGCTGTCTCTTGCGCATGCTGTGCATAGGCCTGGGCCTGAAGGACAATATGAGAGGTGCACACAACTACCATCCCGCCAGATCCCGCCACATCCCGTAAGCCCTGTGCCTGCGCAGCCCAGGCTCGGGCCCTGTGGAGCTCCTGCACACTCATCTGAAATTAAAAAACCCAAAAGACTATATCATAGTATACCATAGTATGTTATAGTATATTATTATCGTATACTATTTGATGTCAGCCCGCCTTCTGGACTGCCACCTCAGCATCTGGCTGCTTGGCCAGGAAGTCGGCACTCTGCGCCGCTGCATCCTGACAGGGGTCAAGCTTTCCCCTCGCAGACCGACACAACTGACACCAAATATTATACAAAAATTACGCTATAGTTTACTATAATATAAACTGTCAGCCCAAGGTAGTCAAAGCAAAGAAGCGCAGCCGAGCCTCTGCAGCTAGCTGCTGCTGGGCAGCCAGCATGGCCTCAAGCTCTTAAGCAGCCAAAAAGAGAGAGCAGATCTCATGTCAACAGTAGTCTGTGAGGATAAGAGTGATCACGGCTCAACTCAAATACCCAGGAAAATCTTCCAACACAAGCGAATTGCATTGAGAAACGGAAACATGATTAACTTTTCTCGTTGAGACGAAGATTCATGCAAAGAACTAAAGGCGCGATAGCCCTGTCAAAGCTGTCTTGGCTCCTTGGTAAACTTGTGGCTCATGACCAAGAAGTGGGGATGTGTGAGTGCCGCATAACTGTTGATGCCTCCGCTGGCCATTCTTGAGACGCAGCACTTCCAATGTGTAGGAGTGTTGATCTGTGAACTCGTCATTAGGCAATGGCAACGTGACCTAGTTTTTTCTGACAAGTACGTTTTACTTTAATTACTGATGATTTTTGTGCTGCGACAATAATCGATATGTGCTTATAACACCCATAGATCTAAAGCACACTTGTTGGGACAAATTTAGGATCAAAGATTGGTTTCATACCGGATGCAGTTTTGGGCCAAATAGACCTCGGATTTAAAGCAAACCAGAAACGCTGAGGTTTAGGTTAAGCTTAATCTACTTGTACTTAGCTTGATTTACTTTTTCTTGTTTACTATTCAGAGCGGGTGGCGCTTATTAATCAAGAATGCGATAGAAGATAATTGAAGTGCGCGAGCGGCCATGACGCAGTCTGGTTGCTGGCTGATGCTGGCGCTGATCGTCCTGCGAACAGCGCACGGCGCAGGTGGCACTCTGCGTCTTGTTAAGCACGCTGGCGGGGGTGCGTTGATTTGGGTTTCTGGAGGGCGGCTGGGAGAGTCATGGCTGGATACATTCCAGGAAACAATGTCGCCAGTACGACGTCCGATCAGACAACCCTGTTTTCTGATTTCAATGGAGCCACCATCTGCCTTGGACTCTCCTGATGCCTGATGCTAGCCGCCACGAAGCCCGGCAGGTCTCCATCTGCCGAGTGTAGAGGTGCTTGACTCATCCCCTTTTTGAGTCTGGTACGGCCAACGTAGGCAGTCGTTACCGTTGCAGAAGATGGCTTCCGTGCATGGTTGACGCGCAGGCAGGAGAATCCTCCTCGTCTGCACGATTCGCCTAGGACTTTGGCCAGCAAGCGTGATCTGCCTCGTTTCAGGTTGTTTCGTTGTTCTGTTTTTGGGCTTGAAAATGGTCGACCCAAGTCCCAAGCGTATGTCTTTCTCATACGCAGGTTGGTGCGGTATGCAGCGATGACTATGTGGCGCGACTGCGCAGTCTTAGCAAGATGAAGATGAGCCTTCGGATTCCTGTGCTTTCGCTGATTCGCTTCCACCAGACTAGGTACCTCCGACTGGCGACTGGCTTGCCCAATTCATTGAGTGCAAGGCAGTCCTGTGTTGGCTTTGTCTTTTTGGGGGGATCTTTTCTGTCTGTTTCCTGTGCCCGGTGCGACCCCCGCGCCCACGGTCCTCCGACGTGCTACGCCCTGTCTTTTTTAGAAACCTGACAAGCCGCGCTTCGCATGTGTAAGTGTTTTCGCAAGAGTCCGTGATTGCGATTATTGCTTCAAAAAGCTTCCAGATCTGGAGTCTGTAAAGATAAGAGAAAATTATCTAGCTCATTCGTTGTTTCAAGGGGCCTCACTGATGCACTGATCAAGAACAAAGGTTTTGAAGACCCGAAGCCCGAAACCCCAATCCTAGACCCAAAGACCACTGAAGAATGCCTCTAGCAGGGTTCGGCCGCAGTTTTGGGTTTTTGAGAAGCTTTTAAGACCCTAAGCCCGAAACCCAACGAGCTGGAAACAAACTGATGAAGCAGAATAGCATTAAATGGGGAGGAGAGGCTGTTGATCCTATAAGTGGACCCATAGCTGCAAAGAATGCCTGGCGAATCTGAGATGCGGAGGACTAAGTCCCGAGCATCGTGGCTTGACTTGGAGCTTTGCTCTGCCAGTCTGGCAACGTTCACCTGGAAACATTATTCTAATTAGGCAGCTTAGGCTCAGGGCTTCTGTTTGAAAAAGCTTTGGCAAAGCGAGGCGATGGAGCATGCTGCTCCGCGGCTCGCAGCATTTGCTGCCCAATCCAGGGCATCTCTGCGCCTACAGCGTCTCTAGGGCTCTGGATTCCGCTGCGTTCATGAAGGTCCATGTGACAGGCAGCTACCAGGGTTCCCATGGTCGCCTTGTGCTCCGGGAAATGGTTGAACAGCATGGCCTGCCAGACGCGCCACACCAACACTCCTATGCACTCCAGGCAGCATCTCCTTGCAATTCTGCTTGAAGTCTAGGAGATCCAAAGCTATAGTCTCTAGCTCTGCCCTCACATCGGCATGCCTTGTTGCAAGAAAGCCAGGCAAACGACGCCCCTGCAGAACCTCAGGAAGGCTATGGTAGATGGCTGTGGCAAAATGCAGCAAACCAAGGGCTGCGCTTCATAGCACGTGACCCGAAGGTCACGCAAAGCGGACGGTGCCCTATGGGCCTGGAGCCCATAAAGTTCCAAGGGTGCGGAACCTTTGCTTCTCAGCACATGGTTTAAGATGAGCATGCTCGGAAGACGCTAGCTGGCACATGAGAGGCAGTGTCGAAACTGCAATGCAATATAATGCAATGCAATGCAATGTGTTGCTCCCTCTTTCCGGGTGTAGCTGGTCTTAGAGAATGGCGGAGGTAGCTCATTGAAAATGCCGCGAAGACAGCACTTATTCTGAAGGCACTTGACTGACGACCGTGACTCATGAGCCGCCCCTCTGTGTAGTGAAACCACCTCGTGAACTTCGACGACTCTTTACAAGCTTTTGGTTGCAGTCGCCAGAATCCAGGGAGCTAAAACCTTGCAGGCCTCACCTTCTGACGGAGGGCGCAGGTAACATCCCCAATTCCAAATCATTCCAATGAATGACCGCATAGACAGTCTCTTCATTCGTCAAGTTGCTTCCACTCCAACATCCCTGGCCACGGCCCTGAGCGGGAACGCCATGCTAGATGCCATGAAGGGCAACCCTATGGTAGCCCTTCATCCTTCACTAGTTAGGTAGTGAGGCGGCATCCATCATCCTCATCCTTTTGTGAAACCTACCGTGCCTGGGTGCACACATTCTTGTACACCAAGCACATTGGAAGCTAGTGCGGTGATGCCTTTTGCGAATGCACCAGTCGGAATTGGAACCTTAATCCCCAAGACTTCTTGGACATCCAATCCAGCTCGCTTTGGTGTACCATCTCTGCACAAAAAAAGCTTCTAGCTTCTTCATTTGATGACTTAGCCTGGCCAAACTCAAACATATGTTTCGGAAGCCGCGGCGAGCAAGGGACTGGCTGTTGGTCTTATCCCTGCAGACAAGATGATCTACAAGCTGCCACTTATCCTAAGAGCAGCCGCCATTCCATCATCTTCAGAACAATGGAAAGCAGAAAGAGCAAAGACCACCTTGCAACATCTAGAATCTGGCATGCACCTCACACCCTTCATTCTCGCACCGTGCGCACACGGCGTAGGAAGCATAGGTCCCGTACAGTGCTCTTCCATTAATTTAAAATATCAGAAAGTCCAGTCAACCGACTTCACCAGACCAGCTGCAGAGACACGGCCTGGCACACAGCAGGGGCATTTACTGACGAAACCTGCATAGCGCAATGCTACGAAGCGCGCAAGACTATTCCAGCATAGCTGGGAACTCGTGCCCAACAAAACCCGTACATCTCTACATGGGCCCTAGATCAGGCAAAGCACGAGCAACCTCCGCGGCACCTCTGCTATGCCAGGTTTGGCACTGGGATATCTGCGGCAGCACGCGCAGCTTGTGCTGCTCGCATCCTCTGGCTGATTCTGGTCGCTTAGCTGCGATGGGGATCTGTACCCTGAGGATGGGAGAGGTAATTTGTAGACAAGGCTCTGCAGGCGCGTGTTCTTCGAGGGTCGAATCCTTTTGTTCTTCTGGCCTGAGCAGCGCAAATAATCTGGATGTAGGATCCGCACACTCTGCACATGCTCTTGCAATCATCCCACCTGGGTGGCGGAAGTGGCAAAAATCGCACATAATGCCCTTGTTGCAGAAGGTCTGGCAGGATGGTGAGTTTGACACAACAATTCTTGATGCAACTGGATCTGCCAGCGGAAGCCTAACAGAAGCAAATTTCCCGCCTTATCCTTGAACCAGAATATGCACGGATTGCAGTTATCTGGATGTAACCTGCTCCCAAGGGAAGCACGTTCACCTGCGCAGAGCTCATCCAAACAACAGGTTCGACTAGTCTTGGATACTAGGCAACATGACAAAGGTAGTCTTCCTTGGTGGGCCGAAGGCCACTCGCACGTTTTTGCATTAGGTGTCAGGGTTTATTCCGCATCTTTGCAACAGGGTTCAGAGTTCCGAGGACTTTCGTCTGTGAGTTAGGGTGAGACGCTGGCCCCACAAAAGAGCGGCAAAAACAGACACAAGCCAGGCACAAGCGAGAATATATCCTTCCCTACTATAGGTGTGGGCATTCGCCAGCATCCCGGCCTTCATCGTTGAATGGAATTTGGGAAAGAAGCGCGTCTTCGTCTGACGGCTGAACACTCGGAGTCTGCTGCCTCAGGTTCAAAGGACACTGCGGGTTCTCATGCCCTGTCTAAGTTGCTGGGGCTCGGGATATGTTGCTGTGCAAAGGTAGTTTGCGGTCTGAGGCAAAGACCCGGCCAGCTGTTGCTGCAGTCGCTGTGTCTGAAGCTGGAGCTGCTGCATCTGTCACATCAGAAATCTTGCAGCGCGCCTATCCCGATTACACCTACAAAATACTCCGTGACAAATCCTCAGCACAGGAATGCATGCTCCAAACCAGCAAACTGCAGCCTGCTGCTGCAACTGCAGCTGCCTGGCACGTTCCAGGCATCAAACATGTTGGATGTGTTTTCATGGCCAGGCCACTTTCTACGAAACAGTCATCCTCCTCTTCTGCGTATTTGGTGGGCGGAAGCGCGCGCTTTTGGAAGCAAACAAACCCTCTTTTAACCAAAGTGGTGAAGACTTTCTTCTTCACCACATCTGGTAGCCGTCAGATGCCACACAAAGCTTGCAAATATTGCTTTCTGTGACGTTAGCATGCCAGCCCTTGATCGTCCTTGAACTACATTGGACAAAACGTAGCGCCAGCGCTGAACATGGCCTGCAGTGAAAAATCTGCAGCATGGCGCCTTCTTCCAGTTTGGGCATCAAACTAAGCAGCTACCTCTCCTCTCAAGTACTGCTTACAGGCAGTGAGGATGGAACAGCATTCAGAGCATCAATTCTTCCCCGCAATTTGCACCTACAGGCCCTGTAGTTGCAAGGCGCTGAGATGTTGCGTAAATGCGCCGGGCACACTGCATCCTCAGATCAGACAGCGTGGGCAGGCACTTTATAGAAGACTCCATCGTTATGCCGAGGCACTGCGACTCAAGGAGCTGCTGCTGAAGCTGATGTTGCACCATATTTCCAGATGATGCTGAGCCTGGCAGCCTCAGACAAGCAAGAGGGGCTGCTGAATCTTAATGCTACCCACACATGCAGGGTCGAGGCCCTTGTTGCATTTGGTGCAGATCGCTGGCCGGTGCAGAATCGACCTCGCAGACTACAACATAAGCTGCACTCGGTGGCCTCTGATCAGATAGCATGAGTCTGGAAACTTGCTGCGAAATAAAATGTCTACGGAACGGCTTCCCTGCTACCTGCCAGGCCGCATGAACACAAATATGCCCAGCCTGGGCAATGAACTCTGACTTCGGCCTGGGCATCAGCATAGCAAGGGTAAAAGCTGTCTTGACAGACACTATCCCAATACCATGTCAGAAGCCTCCTAGCACCACAAGGCAAGCAAGACTACCTGGTACTTGTATTATTCCCTGAACAGGGGAACCCCAATATAGACCCTTAAATACCCTCATATAAGGACCACCAAGATGGTACCCCTAATTTCGGGAAACCCCACTTGGGTAGCGCGCGTCTGGAAGCTCGGCATGGGGAAGGGGGCATCGGATGTTGAGGACCTTGGCTAACAGTTTCTTTTTTCGAGACCAGAGGACTTTTCCGTCCGCATGAATGCCCTGGTTCATTGAAAGACCAGTTCCCAATCCTCTGGCTAACATGCTTCTCCACACTTCTGAGCGACGAAAATACGCTTCAACGTCAGGGCTAACGGGTTTAGTGTTTAGGGTGGAGACTTCTATAACCCCTATAAAACATTAAAACAAAAAAAACTGTAGAAAATCCTTTGTCTACTCGATGGTGACAAGCATGTTTGGAAACGAAGTCGTCAGGGGATTGAGTGCGCTAACTGTGCTGTCAATTTGACTCTCCAGCACCCCAACCGCAGGATACAGCACCTCCTAGCTAGCGCATGCCTGGCCAGAAATTTTGAGATGTGTCGCAGTGCACGGGGCATCGGTGCTAGTCACGATGTTCGTTTCATTGGGCGAGTGTGGCAGTGTTTGCGGTGTCACAAGCAGGGCCCTCTTAACAGAGGCACACGCTGGGGCACCTCCTGCCGTTAAGTGGATCTGAGCTGCGCAGCAGTACATGTGATAGGAATCGTTTTCTTTTCCATGATCCCTACATCGGCTGTTCATTCCCTCGGACTGGCTCTGAAATCATCTCACTGAAAAAACACTTCGGCCAGGGCAACAAGACGAATAGTAATAATAGTAAGAGTATCATGAATAATAATGATATTAGAATAAAATATAAGCAATATACTAATGATGAGAAAAATTTACTAGGAAGAATATTAATCTGAATAATCATAACGATGATCCCAATATGCTAAATAGGACGCGCTTTGCCAAAAAAGTCTTGCTGCTGTCGGGTTGGTCTAGCTCGCAAACTTGAAGATTGGTCAGAAAACACTCCTGCTTAGTTCAACAAAACAGATGACCCATAGCCTAAACACCTAGTATCCCCCTTCATAACGCCTGAAGCCCTAAAGTAGTCACCTATATAACTACCCCTTATGCAACTCCCTTTGAGGTGTCTCTGAGAAAGCAGCATTGGCGGCATTTGCAACTGCAGCTGTTGCCTGGCACGCCATGCTCGGGATCTTTCACCCTGGCACCCCTACAGTGGCTGTCCCCTCCTCCTTGTTCAGGTGAAATAAAGTGGTAATCCAGATTTGTTGGGAGGATCTAGAAAGTAGTAGATCCTCATTGAGGCGAAAAAAGAAAGCAAGTCAAAAGAGTACAGGGTACCAAATTGGGGGCTTTGCTTTCTAGATCCGGTCTGGGGTCTTGGAAGCCGAAGACCAGGTCTTGCCATATTATCCCAGACAGGAAAGCCAGCCAGCATGGTTAGGCTGCTTACAGTAGGGGTAATCCACTCCCTCTGAGGTTAAATCCCCCACCCCAACCTAATATAAAATACTCCCATTATGTGGTATGTTACAATATATTGGGAGTATTTGATTTTGGGGGCGGATGGAGGGTCAATAGGGCTTGGGGTTCAGGGTATCTTTGTTATTCTGAGATCAGACACGGGCCTGAACACAAATCTCAAGACATTTGACCACTAAGCGCCAAAAATCGAACTTTGCCTTTCACCATGAGGCTTGCAGAATGCAAAGTAAGCGCAACCGGACTGTATCCCAGCTTCTCAATTTTATCAAACAATCTTATAAGTAAAAGCTGCCTCACTTGGTGGTTGTCCCAACACATGTCCCAAACATGACCCACCTCCCTTTTTAGTAGGGATTCCCCCGTTGAGGGACTATCTCCCCTATAGTCCCTCCCTTTGAAAAACCTCTAAGACAGCTCCCACTTGCAGGAACGCTTTGTTCTGCAGCGAAGCACCTCTCTCTCACTTGGCAGAGCAAGATGTGGATCAAAAATTGGGTACAAAGGAGTTTGCTTTAATTGTGCGACTTCTCTGCAGGTCTTCTGAAAGAGTCATGGTACACTTGACGTAAATGGAATTTTGAAGGAAACGGGGGGGACGGTGCTTCGGGAGAACTAAACACATAACAGATACTGACCAATCATGAGGTTGCGCGTTATGCCAAGCCAAGATCTCCAAGCAGAAGGACGCAAGTAGCTGCCTCTTCCATCTCTTGTTGGGCCCTAGTGCCCTACATAATTGCAATTGGGTTTTGGTACGGTTCACTACACGTGCCAGTACCACCAGGATTGTGGATGGTAGTAGTTCTACTTATTCATGCACCTGCATTACGTACTCCAAGCGGACTCCAATACGTTGAGATATGCTCATAGTTTCGTTGGCTTCAAGCATGTCTCCTTCGGTTCTTCGGCACACAACTTCAGCATCTCATTGGCCAGCTTCTTGTTCAGTGCATCTGGTTCACATCCCAGCCGCTTCCCCGGCGGACCAGAATCAGTGTTCTCGCAACTCTGAAGCTGCACCTTGTCCTTGGAGGACCCTTCCAAGTAGCATTGGCAATGGTTCTTTGAATCGTCGGTAAACATGAAGGCATTTCCTTTGGTGTTCAAGTGGAAGTGACCGCCCTTCTTGACCCAGAAGAGACGTCCCTTGTTTGAATCTTCGTAGCTGCATGACAAGTCTGCACTCTGAAACTTGCTGCTGGAGCAAAACTTATTGAACTTTTCCTTGTTGTTGACTTTCCAATTGTTCTGAAGAAAACCAGTGGGAAGTACATCGTGGAAGTCAGCCAGGCGCCGCGCCATCGTCACAGGCACTGCTAGTGGATGGTGGGAAGATGAATCTCCCGAATCTGAAAGCAGATTTGCCAGGATGCGCTAGTGTGTAATAGAGCTGTTGACAGTTGGAGCTCCTGATGCTCGTAGATGGCGATATCAGTCATGCATGTAGGACTTCTCATATCATCTCTAGCGGGACATAAAATTTGACTCCCACATAATTTACTCCTTATTAAGGGACTTCTTGGAGACCCCCATCAGAACCAAGACCCCAAAAAGCGTCAGTACACCCGACAAAGAGCACCTTTGCAGAGCCGAGTGGAGTTGCTGGTTTATGGGCGCTTCTGAAACCAGGGGTTCGGGTCTATTAGGGATGTAACATGGAGGGTTCAGATTGGTACAAAAACAGGGGTGGCCTTTGGGACTATGTAGGACTCATTTTGAAAAGTTACTTCACAGGTGCATGGACCAGCCCCTCCCCTCCTCAAGCACCCCTTCCCCCCAAACCCGGATAAGGCCTCACGCACAAGTATACCCCAAAGGACCCCTGTGGGCACTTCTCGGGCCTTGCCGTTTGAAGAGATCTAACTAACCGGTGCTTAAGGGCTCCTACAAGCAGGCAGGCGGAGAATTAACGGGATTAGTATAGGGGTCTGTGTAAAGGTTGCATAGATATCATGATAGTATCGTCCAATCTCCACGTTTCCAAATGGGGGGGAGGATCGCCTCCTCACGAGGGCTAGCCCGAAGCGTATGCCACTGCTGTGCAGCCGGAATGTGGGTTTCTTGAAGCTGGAAACAGTCCTACTTTGAAGAACGGGAATGAGAACCTCAACTCCCACTTGAGGTAGGCGACAAATCTGTAGTCTGATGCAACAACAATCTGGGTGCGTCTGACGAAGCACCCCCTTGATAACAAGCAAATCATTCACAAGCCGCTCTATGTTTGAGAAATGTTTATCACGCTGGGGGAGTTTGAGATGGTGGCAATTAGAAGGTCGATCGGGGGGGATATCAAGTTCTGCGCTGATAAATCGCAACAATTGGGTCATCACTTCTGCATTTCGTTACTTTGTCTGGTTGATTCATAGTGAATCGAATGAAGTAGAGACTGCCATTAAGGCAGACGATGCTGTTGCATAAAAAGTGTTCGAAGGACCGTGAAAATTTCTAAGGCAGGTTCTTGTAAGTTCCGTTATGCGATTTCGAACCTAGTGAGCATGAACCAGTACCGTCTCGCAGTGAACTACTCTACCATAGTATGTGGCTTCTCACCTGAGCAAGCCCTCGGCATGATCTCATGCAACCATGCGTACTGGCAGCTTTGTCAGTCCAACATAACTGTCGCTTCAGACCACAGTGCAAAGTGCGAGACATTAACGGCTGAACGGTCGTGGATTGCAACTTGCAAGGAAGATTTGGCTGCTAGCAGTAAGGATATGGGCCCTTTCCGGTCGCAGCAAGCCCTTGTGCCACGTGACCGGGTGAGCCACGACACAGAACCGTTGAGGTTTACATCATTTCAGCGGCTGTGTTGCAGGAGAGTCCTTCTCATAAGAGCATGTGTGGCGAGAGATGTTGCGCTAAACATGCCGGCCGCTCTGCTGCATCTGCAATTGGGCCAGCTGTTCTTGCGGCTGCCTTAGTCTTCCACAGCATTAGCAGTTGAGTCCCTGAAATGTACATCATGCGTGGGCATCCAAGAAGCTTCTGGACGGAACTTGCTCGCTGTGCCCTGAGTGCGCTGGTCATCTGCTACGCTGGCGCCCAAACTGTTTCCCAGATATCCCAAGTAGACATTGCCTCAAACTACTGTGGCTACTGTACGCCTGACGCAGTTAGGATTGCAGAAAAGCTGCGTGATCTCGGCAAGCTCAGCCTGTAGCAAGGACCAACATAAGATCTGCACAACTCCCAGGAGGCTTGTTTTCAGCCTGCATCTTCAGCAGCTGCATGTCCAAGAGTCCGCTCCCTTCTTGTCCAGGCCTCGACGTCAGACTTGGGGCAAACAAGTGCGAAGCAGTGCAAAGCCCAGCGAAGATCTGTCAAGCACTTGCGCGCTCTTTGCCGAGGCACTCTTCTGAGAACCCGGATGCTGGAATTTTCCTTGGCATCGTGTTGCGTGCCGACCCACAAGCTTCCACCAGCTTGAAAACCGGTATGCATTAATCATATGATCCAGCAAGGCTGCAGGGTCCAAACTGCATTTTGTCAGTTTGCCTACTTCCCTGCGACCTAGTAGCAGGTCGCTCGAAGCAAAATTTGCCTGCCGCACATTCCTCGGCTACACAATCCCATCACTTCGTGCCGCTCCGGTGTTCAAGTGCTGCTCGCGCTGCTCCAGAAAAGACATCAGAGCTCAAGCCAAGATTCACTCCATTTTGGAAGTGGCTTGGCTGATCCGCTTGAAGCCTGCAGCATCAAGGATTTCTTGCTTGCAAGCAGTGCAAACATTTGCCAACTGCTTGCAAGTGGTTCCAGCCAAGGAGCGGCGAGCCATCAAACATGCCCGGTGGTCGCGGTCTCAGGGCATCAAAGGCTGTTGACAACGGTCACATCTGACACTACCAGGGCCGAGCAACCGCCCCAAGCAGTCTGAGGCACTGAAACTGCGAGAAGGCCAAGTAACCCCAAACCAGAACAGAAAGTCTGAACAAGCGGAACGGGTTTTAGGTAATTTGCAGGTTCCGAGGCGCATTGAGGTCGCGCCGAAAAAATTTCCAGGTGGTCTCTGTGGAAGCTGATGCCTGGGCAATTCACCAGCATCCCCACAAAAGCGTACAGTCTAAAGACCTCAAATCTCCTTGGTAGTTCGTTCCCCTCTGATTCACTCAGCGTGTTGAGCAGGTTTGCAACTTCCCTCCGGCTTTGCTTAGCAAATGGTGCTATGATTTCGCCGAGATGAAACTCGTCCATCTGGGGTTGGTCCAACATGGTCCAACACAATCATTCCTTCATCGACCGCAGCTGAAGTCCAAGTTGCTCCATGGGTGGCAAGGCATCGTGCTGAACCTGGGCATGCGTCGCTCCAAGTTCTGGCAGCAGAGCCAGATTTAGATGTTGTAGATGTTGGGATTAGAGGCTCTTTAGGGATTAGTGTTCAGGATGCAGGGCATGACATCTCCGCTGATTGTATGACTGGCGCAAGAATTTGCCATCAGCATCACCGAAGGTCTCAAATACGATGCTCTCACCGGGGCTCTGACAGCTGCCATGCCCTCAGGCGAAGGCATCTGATTCGGCCTTATCTGGAGCGTTGGACCCTTCCGCCATTTGATTGAAACTGCACGCTTCGATGAACAAATGATAACAAATGCAAGGGAATCAGCTCGCAACATGACCCAACGCCTGAACCTTGCTGAAATGCTGCGCAGAGGCATCTTGAGCAGGTCCAGTGGTCTCTGGTCTCCCGTGTACCTTGCGCAAAGCGAGACGCATGATTACTTACCTCCTGCCATGCCACTGCTTTGAAAGCCAGGTAACCTTGGTAGTTGCGGATAGGAATCCTGAGTCTCAGCATGCGGCTGCGTGCTTGTACAGTGACAACACTGGAGAGCATGGCGCACGATAGCTAGTGCGATGCGTTTTGCTTACCTGTTCCAGCATTTAACCTCTAACTCCAACTGATGATCTTCTGAGCACCTCATCATATGAAGGCTCCAGCCCTGATGCCAGTTTTGGTTGAATTGCACAGAAGTTTTAGAGCATTGCACCCCTCACGCAGGTCATTGAACGAAGGATCTTGAAGAACTCCGAAACACTGCAGGACTTGAAACGTACTCAAACACACTGTTTCTATCTAAAATGCCTCCACTGCAGGACTCGAAGTCGCCAGCAAAGAAAATTGCTGTTTTACATGTCTCCACACAGGTGAAATGGAAACAAACATGAGGATCCTCGGACGGGTGGGTGCCTTCATGCTGGGGCGGATCACCGCATGTGTTTTGTCGGGCTTTGTTCCGCTGCAACATGCGCCGGCGGGGGGCCTTATCGAATTCTTAAACGCTTCTGTCTCCTGCATAACCCTCTAAATCTCCGTCAAAGAGACCTGGATATACGTGAAGCACATGTCTCATTTAGAAACAAAGATTGATGAAGACGTTCCCGCGCGCTTCAAGGAACTGGTTTTCGTATGGAGCACGAGGCTTATCACTAGTGGTGCCTTTTTCTCTCCTGAGCCACAAGTTTCACTCTACTATTGCTTGGCAAGACACCTGTGCCGCCCTAGCGCCAGTCTGTCGTCCGGATCCCTGCAAAGAAACAGCATGATGAGTTTCGCACTCTTCCACACTCAGCGAATCTCAGCCATTTCCAGCCTCCGCGGCCCGGCTTCTGCCGTACACCTCCGTAACAAACTGCAATCCGAGTTGGGAAACCGTAGCAAAAAGCGATGGAGCAGCTTACCTGATGCTGCGTATGAGGCACCATGTGGTAGGGCCCGGCTGGACCATGCTCAATCAGCTCACTGTCATCCAGATCCTCCGCGTCACTCCTGGACATAACGCCTTAGCCAGCCATTCGCCAGCAGCTCGGCTGCAAAAGTCCATGGAGCATTTTGCCCAAATCAAGGCTGGTAGATCCAAGACCATAGCAGCAATCTGTAGAGGAGCTCACGTAGCAATGCAGGTGAAGAAGATGACTAAGATAACATTAGAGCGGAAGCCTCACTGTACATCACAAGATAGGTAGGGATCATTCACCTCAAGATCTGACAGGGAGCACGAGTACAACCAGTCATCCAAGGCACTTGAGTTTGAGCGACTCATTGAGCCGCCTCCACGCCTGGGGACGTCAACAAAAGTTGTTTCCAGTAGCTTCAGCTCAGCCTCCCTCTTTGACACAAGGCCAAGGAGCTGCGGATACCAGAAAAGCACGGAGCTGGCACTCGATGTGCAGTCAAGCTTGCCTGCTTCTGGGCCGTTCAGAGGCCCTGCGAACATCACAACACATCTACTTGCAGCAGAAGTGCTGTCACTGGCAGACCGTGCTAGTGTTCGCGGTGGATCATCGTCTGCATTCTCCTCATATCCACCTGACACAGGATCCCATTGCACGGAGGTCATACACAAGCTTGCGACGATTCATTTCTGAAAAAAGATGCGACTAGAGCGGCACACAAAAAACGTCGTTTGCCCGCTGGTCAGTAACCCCCTGCCTATGAAGGTGTTCTTGATCACCAGCTTCATCTGACCGAAAGACTGGCTGTCCCCGCCATTTGAGGATTGGCTAGGAGACTCGCCTGAGGCCATATGAATATGCCAGTGACTCAACGTCAAGCTCGCTGATCCGGGCCTGAACGTGCCGACCTGGCAGACTGCGGCGCTTCAGCTTCAGTCTGCGGCCCGGCATCCTGCGCAGCAAAGATTGTGAGCCAAGACAACTCCGCGCCCCACCCGGGCCTCACGCTTTTCAATACCGAACAAGCGCATGCTCTTCAGAAACCTGGGCAAAGGTTAATCAGTTGGACAAAAACCGCAGGCTGACGCCTTCGTTCCCATAAGCTCACCAAGTCCACCGCGGTCGACGTCCTCGACCCCCTGAGCACACACGTCTGACTCAATATGCTTTTACTCTTCGTGCACGTTCTCTTCATGAAACATACTCCAAATGGAAGGTCTGTTTCTGGCACTTGTCAAGGCGCAATTTGAGCTTCGCCTGCGGATCTGAACGGAGCCTCAGACGTCTCGCTAGGCATACTGCTGACAGCTCGTGAGACACCACAAAGAAAGTGAACTGATGAGCCAGAAGACAGACCACCCTGGCGATGGATCTCCGACTACTAGCTTAAGCCTGAAAATTTGCGGACCTGCTTTTCGTGCCTTCAGAAGGCATGCTGATTCAAGTTGTTCCTCTCAGCTAACCAGATGCAAGGCTCAAAATGTCTTTCCCGAAGCTAGGTGAATATGCACAAGCCCACAGGAGGGCGCGCAGCGGTCATTGGCGAGAGGCAAGCACTTCAAGGCAAGTGTTCCAGATTTATCTTTACAATCCCGACTCTGCTTCATGCTGAATAGGCACAGCCCGTCTATTGCTTGAAGTGCATGACTGTCATAAGATGACCCTTCAGCATCTGGGCCCATCTGCAAACGGTGGTTTCAGGTCCATGCTTTGCCCACCGACGTATGCCAAAGGGTCTCGCGAGCTTTGCACGCGAAGTCTGCATTTGCAAGCAGGTTTGAGCATCCGCATCAAGTCTGCGGGGCCAAGCTGCCACGTACTTCGTCCAGCGCTTGGCATACAAAAACTCTGACTCTTCAGGTATCGCCCCTGAACAGGAAAGCTGCAGAGGTCAGGGGAGGTCAGAGCAGTCCAGAGGAGCACAGCCCAGGAACCAAAGTCTTGCCTGAAGTGAAAATACGTCGGCGTGAGCACGAGGGGAATCGCTCCTTCCAGACGCGCGTGCTGCGTAGTCTGTTGCTCTGTGCCAAGGAAGCAACCGAGACATCACACAAGACATCAGATTGGCCAGCCTGCCAATTGAGTCGTTTGGCCTTCATGAGGCTGACTTTGAAAGCCTGGTCCAAGCATCAAGCAGCGCTTACAAGCGCAAGCTCGACAACTGCCCACACCCTCGCCTTCTGTTGCGGCTCCTGCCCGTGTGGCCACAGGCTCAACCTTCACAAATAAACACACATACGCTAGGCGCCTTGGGAATTCCCCCTCATTGCAAAGCCCGTGGAGCCTCCGCGGGCTTGGCGCCCGGTTCACTGGCCCTACAGCCGCCTCCGGATGCTCCGGAAGTATGAGAGGCCTCCGCAACAGATGCACTAGAAAGACTCTGACACCTGACAATTTGCCAAAAGCCTGTGGTTGTTGCGAAGGTGCGGGCAGTGGATCCTCGCCTTGTACGGGCACAAGAGAGGTTGGCTTCTCGCACATTCGGAATTGCCATGAGAGGCCGGCGTGATGGAAAAACCGGTGGCCACCTGCAGATCTGCAAAACTCATGCTTCACCATGAGGCATCAGTCCAAGAGACAGCTCACGCTAAACACGTGACCGGCGAAAGCAAATATACATGACATGACTAGCTGCCTCTTCAATTCTTGTTTCAGGCGCTCTTCCTCACCTGCAGGAAAAAGCATCTTTTCGATATCAATAGTCGCTTGAACCTTGGGGCTGAGGTCTTGCTTGCAATTGCAGCATGAGCGCTTTCAATATCAAATCGAGCAATTCTCTGCGATCTTTTGCCAAGGCCATGGATATCTCTTTGTCTTGTCCTAATGGGACAGCGACAGCCTTCTGGGATGGAAGGCACCACCGGCCATGCGATCTTCGCCTCATTATCCAATGCTCTCAATCAAGGCAACTTGTTCATGTTGTGATTCTGTACGCGGAGTAGAAACACGACACATGAGCCAAGCCATGTGCTCAGCTGCTGACAAGGCCGTCCTGGTATAAAGCTGGCACATCTGGCACAGCCTCGGCAAGTTGCTTATGCCTAGCTAGGCAAGGGCAGATGCATTCACACGAGCCTTGGGTTTGGCTTTCAGGCCGCTGGAGCCGCCTGTAGCAGTTGTGTTGTCCTGCCAAGTCCTACCCTTCCACATAGAGCTATGGACATGCTGTAACATCTGGTGAGCAACGTTCGCTCCACAACGACAGAGATTCGCTTCGCCAGCTGAGACTGGAGCATCTGACACGCGATGCAGAGGGTCCCAGAGAGTTCAGAGTATCTCTTTGCTGCCTCAAGCTCTGTGAGCCCACTGCTGTCTGGATCCAGTCCTGCGAAAGAAAGATACCACCTATGACTGGCAAGTTTACCGTTTGAGCAAGCAAGGACTCGGCTGGAACTCGACCAAGGGGCAAACATGGAAGCTACATGCGAGCAGAAATGCAGAAACCGTAACCAGGAAGATGTCGTCCACCGGCACATTTGCCAGCAATTGGCATTCCATGAAAACCACAGTTGAACTCATGAGCCTTGTACTATTTACAATCGACAATCTCACAGTTAGCCAACAAACACCTAATCTAAGACAAGCCAAGGATAGTCCTGGAACGTCAGCACCCAGGCCCGTGCTTTTCCTCCAAAGCTTGGAACAGGTTGTACCTCACCTGCCTGCAGCCCAGCCAACAGCAACCAGGCACCCTGCCTGTGGGGCGCAGACCAGCCAGCCGAGCTCTGTGCTTCAGAATGCGAATGTCGCCTGCGAAAGGTCAGTTGAGAATCGGGATGATCTGGCATCAAGTTCGCTCATGCAATTTTTTCCTCCTCAGGTGCTTGAGCTCTTTCTTTTCTCGCAGACCATGCTTGCTTCCCTACATCGAAAGAAGTTGCCGTGAGTTTCAGGGTCCAGTCGTAACTCGCACATATCCGCAGCTTCCTCAGCTTCCGCAGCTTGCTGCGGGGCCTCTCCTTGCTGCTCCCCAGCCTAAAAAGCGGAAGCAAACAGCACGCATCCTCTTCACCAACGACCTGGTAGAAGGAACCGAAGAACAGGAGCATTCATGAACTCCAGTCCACAGAAAGATGATCCAATCTCTTCGTGTCGATGGAGGACCAGCATGTCCTCTGGCTCATGTTCGCGGCTGGCTCATGCGCGTAGACGAAGTATGTGTCGTCGTCACAACATGTCACAACCCAAACCACTGGCACTGGCCAGGTTCCGGCTCTTCCTTGGTCTCAGCTTTCTCCGCAAAACCAAGTTCCGAATCCGAGGGCTCCTTGCTCCCAGCCGTCTCTTGCTCGGGCTTGCACTCGGAAACACCTCCTGCTTCCACAAACTCTGCGAGCTCTGCTTTTGGAGCCTTGGACTCGATGTCTTCTTCCTCTTCGACCTTCACCTTCCGCTCGGCCTTTGCCTGTAGCTGACAAAAAGGCTCATGCAGGACATTACATGAAGGATTGTGTTCAACTTCTCGAGTAAATTGCTCGAGGCTCCTGCCTTAAGCACTCGGCTCTTGTTTTTGAGATCCTGCCACAGGTGAGCCAAATTTTGGGTGGGAGTTCATAAAATGATCAAGGCCAGTCTACCCGCAGCCGCAGCAAAAAACTAGCTGCACCCAAACTGGAAGAGAACAAACCAGGCAGCTTGACCGTCTCCAAGTCACTACCTGCTTGAGCTGCATAAAACAAGGATCCTTCAACGCCAGGCAAGCTCACGTGCCTTCATCAACATCACCTGCTGCTGTAAGTTCTTCATAAAACCTGACTGCATGTCCGTACATCATTCCGCACGACATCAGGAAGAGTAGCCGATCAGGCTCGGCCCACGAGGCTCCGACTCCAGCAAAGTCTCCATGTAGAGTGGCAGCTCCTGAAGCTCCAGTTCAAACCAGTTCAAGCTACTCAGCCAGCCTCAGTCTCTCAGGCCGAGGCTGCTTTAGCAATGCCCAGGCCGAAGGGAAGCCGCCGCAAAGCTGCAAGCAAAGCCGCCTGAGCTCAATCAGCTCCTGCATTGCTGCATTGCTGCATGATGGGGGGTCATACCTCAACGGCACCATGAACTGAGGCCACAATGAAGTTTCTCCATTTCAAGACCTCAGCATTCATGCGACTCTTCAAGCCAGCTCGATCCTGAAGAAAGATCCCCACCGGCCGAGAAGCATCTCCTGCAAAGCAAAGCACCTGATCGCGAATGCTCTGCATGATGGTGGATGTCTTCTTTTGGCTCTTGCAGGATGCTTGCATTCAAGCAGCTCGTTGACACGGATGACCCAGCAGTATCCAGGTAGGGTTTCAGAGAGTTTTCAAAACTGTCAAGATCAAAGAGAAAGTAAATCCAAATTTCGCAAAAATCGCTTCAGTACCTATGCTTCGGTCAATGTCAGTCTTTCTGCTGGGCATGTGACCTCTTTCCCTCCTCCAGAGCTACATATTTGTTTTGCTGACACCCTCGGCTCAAAGACGAGCAGGAAGGTCCCGCGTTTAGGAGCGCTGATCAAAAACACATTGCACATTGCTGCAGCTGCCTCCTGGCGCGATAGCAGGGCCAGGACACTAATGCCTCAGTTCCGGCAACACTGACCATAGTGGAAATACCAGCCATCGCATGCAAAGGCGCAGACAAACCTGCACAAGCCAGCTTCTCCGGGTGCCTGGGAAGCGCATGTCATGGCTGGTGGACAGGCATTCTGCGCTGACTTCACGACGAGTCCACGGCAGAGTCTTCGCGGACGCGGACCCGCATCCACAAAGCGAGCCTTTACCTTCGTACATGAAATCGAGGGCCAATGTTTCTCGCAAAGTTGTGCAATGCAACTTCAAGCATTCAGGCCTGCCCAGGCTTTGCTCCACGCACCCAGTCCATGTAAACCAAAGGTTCATCCTCCACATTTGGAAATGCCACGAGTCTTGGCGTGCAGAATAAGGTCTGGCTCGAGCGCACCCGGCCTCTTTGCGCGGCAATCCCTCTGGATACCTGAGGCTTCTTCCCTCATGGAAGTTTAAATTCTCAAAGATTACGCTGATGCCTCAGTCCGTACTGACGAGCAAGTTGCACGATTTGGTGGACTAGCTTCGCAGCTTCCCTGACAGACATTCAAAAACATTCAACTTCCCTGATTCTTCTTTTCTGTCAGCCTCGAAGCCGGACGGTCACTGATCTGCACCCCGAACGCGAGGCAAACATATCTTGCCACCTGAGGTCTCAGGGCCTTCGACTTCATCTCCAGCCTTGAAACATCTGAGGCTGACACTTGGGCGATTCGAGCTTTGGTAGCATGAGGAACATTGGCCTGAAGCCTTGACATGCGATTGAAATCAAGTTAAAAGTAAGTGAAAAGCAAAGATGCTCCGGAGGCAGGGCCCCCGACCTGGAAGCAAGAAGATCGCTATGTCGAAGCCTAGAAGGGAACGTTGGAATCAAGCAGGGACCCACCCAGAGAGCAGAGCAGTGCAAGTTCCTTTTGCAGCTTTTGCCTCTAACCCATCACAATCTCTTGGACGGTAGGACTCGGTAGGAGGTTAAAATCAGACTCTTAGCGCTTCATTGATTCATTCCATGGTCGGCATCTCATATGGCAGCACTGGCTGGCCAGGCCCTTGGCAGCACCAATGGCCTTTTGGGCCAGAATAATAAAACCAAGGCTTTCCGTCGTCTTCGAACTCTTCCCAATGCTCCCCAGGAGGAGGATCTGGAGCCTTCTGATCAGGCTCATCAGTCTCCGGCTCTGGGTCAAAGTCTGGCTCCTCGACTTTCACCGGCACTCTAGCAGGAATTACTCTCGCAGGATTGGGTCCCGCTTGGCTGCTCCGGGGCTCGGGTGCTTTGTAGGAAGGAGGTGGTGGGAGGGGTGCCTTCTTAGGTATTGGCCGCATCGAAGCCCTGGCGTAAGCCTCAGTGGAGCTGCTGGCTGCTCCATGGCCCGTACCGCCCGTAGAATCCTGTACAGCGTTTCTGGGCGTTTCAGGTCCCTGACGACAGTCATCTTCCCGGGAATGCCAATTCCAGTCTCGCCCCCCTTCAGACCTGTGCTCTGCAAACAATCCTCGCTTAGGCATGACGCGGATGATGGTGTCATCGCGCTTCTGCTTAATTTCAAAGCGTAGTTGCATACCATCCTCGTGAAACATGTGCACCCTCACGGCATGTAGGACTTCTTGCCGCGACACCCCTTCGCGATGACCCCAGCTCTCCATCAAGTTTGTCAAGGAGAAGGAGCCCTGGCTGCAGACACGAAGGCCATGGGGTTGGTTGTAGCGGCCAAAACGAGCTATCGTCCTCGAGATCCATTTTGTGCGATTGTCCTGGTCTAGCAGCGGACTGCGGCTCCGGCCTTGTCGGCCACGCATTGCAGAGGCAAATGCATGCACACAAACAGGCAAGAAATTGCGTACAGCGAGTAGCTGAATAGAGCAAAGTAGGCAGGGGCTACACCTAGGCGGCCACAGCTAGTCAAAGCATCCACCTGTAAGAGAACGACAAAAAAATTCGTAGCTGTACCAGACCTGCTGGACTTGGAGGTGTTACGTTGCGCTTTTGGTGAGCAATTTGCGGCAGGACGCTGCCTGCAGGATGCTAGCAAGCGAGAGGCTTTGAGCAAAATCAGGAAGCAGAAATGCCCGTTCACGACAGTGGCAGGATTGTTGGCATCACCTGCTGTCTTTTTGCGCCAAGGCCTGACACTCCAACGCCGTCAGCTTGACATCTGGATTTGGAGCCGAGGCGGACTCTCTTCCTGAATAAAGATCCCAGGACCCAAACGCCTCCTTTGATGCAAGTTATAAAGCCATCCTTTGAAGTCAATTTGGAGGTCTGGGTTGTGGGACCTAGAGCGGAGCAGTGCAGTACAACCTGTCGTAGATTTCCACGCCAAGAGCGGGCCAAGCCCCAGCAGACTGAAGCGCCTCTGAACGCACCTTTCTGAAGACGAGCCCTGTCGCTGTAAATCCGCTTACCTTGCGTAGCCGGCTTCGCAATCCGGCTCAGAGGCACTTCTGTCGGCACTTGGTATTGGAGGTGTCCCTAAGGAACTTGGTGCTCGGAACCTTGCTCGCTACTGCTGTACATAGCACAAGAAAGCAGAGAGGGATTAGCCACTTGCAAGCTGTGCTGGTAGCGCTGGTAGTCAGCATTCAACGGGTGGCTTTCAAACCACATCCTGAACTGCACCGATAAGGTGTACAAAGGACACATAATCTACATCGCATGCCTTGTCCGGCATGAAGGAAGCCCTGCAGCACCACCATGTCTGAGGCATTGCCAAACACTGGATTCCTAAGTTTTGGAGCTAAACTTTGCCTTCAGCAGCTTCTAAGCAGGTGCCTCTGGCCAATGGAGGTCGCCAATTGGCGCGCTGCTACGCTTTGCAGCACTTCGTGCAAAGGAACTGATTTTGCGGCCCAACTGTCGGATGTGCCAGCCTCACAGTCCTGAAGCCTTGCACTCGGAAACCACAAGATTGGTGTTAGGTGAGTAATTAGACTAGAGATTTCCTACTTTTCAGGGATGAAGACATCAGCAACGAACTCGATCCGTGAAACTCTGCTGCATCTGGAACTGATTTGCGCGAGAGGACAATGGGTCTGCTGCCTGAACAGCGTTCCCGTCTGTCTTGTCCAAACCAGTAGCAGGAGAGTTGAGGGAGCACATAAGTTGTCGTCGAGCGTCAGTCCGCATCCTTACCGTGCTCCTCACTCTCCCTGCTCACTCAAAATCTAAGGAACAATATGAAGCACGCACGTGCTGCCTTGCGAATCAACAACCAAGCGTGAGAAGGGCTTGAGGCTTCATGTTTGCTGCATTTGCCAGGTGGGCCGACTGCCTGCCCAACTCACGTGTAGCAGAACGCTCCTAGAGTTTGGTTGACGCATCCAAATGAATTTCTTCAGCATGCCTTTCTCCCAAACGACACAGTCTGACAGATAGAGATTACAGATATATATATCTGCTCATGAGAAGTACCTGCATTACCTTTGAACCTCTTTCAGCTGGGAGCTGGCTGCAGCGAGAGGATCCACTTTGCCTCTCCAGCATCAGCGGCCTGTAAACTCCAGACTTGAACTGGCCTCGCGTAGAATTGGTACGTCTTGCAACAATCAATGCTACACCATTCTTGGAGCCACGTTCAGTCTGAGAGAACACCCCACGAAGAGTTCGAGGTGCTGAGGAACCAAGAAACCAACACCACTTACAGCAGCAGAAGGGGGCAGCAGATTCAACAACTGCCATCAGCTGCCAGCTGCTTGCTTCTTCAGAGGTCCTTTTGCCACTGCCTCACAGCACCTGACCTCATGGAACTTCAAAGACATGAAACTGCCCTACCTGGAAGAGCCTGGCGGGCTTTCACTCTGCCACCATCAGCAGTCCTTATGTCTGATACTGGAATTCAGCGCTTTCTTGCAAGCTGCTCGAACCAGAGGCAGTCCAAGTCTCAGCAAAGTCAGGCACCCAATGCCCGGTAGGAGGCGAGGCTGCACAACTTGCTGTCGCAGAAGCGCTCACCGTTTGGCAGAACTACCTGCGAAAAAAAACACAGCTTACGTCACGGCAACATCCGTGAAAGGTCACATGTGTCAGTGCCTGGAGCTTTCGCTTCGGGGCATGCAGCTGTTGTGTCAGACGTGTCCAAAACTCCTGCAAACTCGGGAGCTTGAATGCTCATCCGCAGCAGTTCCGTTGCCCTGAGACTCTGAGACTGCCGTTTGCTGGCCTCCAAGCAGAACTCGGACAACGCAAAACCTTGAAAGCCGTTGGATCGCTCACATGGAGCGCACGCAGCACGGACAAACAAGAAAACTGTTCAAAGATCTTACAAGGCGTCCAAACCAGGACGCTTAGCACGGCGCGTCCAGCCAGGCTGAAGCATTGCCAATGTTTGCAGTCTGAGTCGCTAGGAACCTTACTACCAATTACAGTGGGAAAATTCAAAGAAATGAACTTGCCCGCCAATGCGTCTTTTGCGGCAAAGCCACCAGCTGGACCACAATGGGCGCACAATTAGCCGGCCAATTGGACACGTAGACCTCACCTGCCTGAAACAAGAGCAACCATGGAAAACCTTGCTTTTGGGAAGAGGCAGGCGACGGGCCTCAGGCTCGGGGACTTGGCACTGTCCCCAGTGGTCGTCACCGAAGGCCAGGACCCGGCCATCGCTTCGAAGCAAAACCGTGTGAAGGTCTCCAGCGGAGATGTCTTCCTGAAACTTCGCTGCAGGGCAAAATGCTTGCTACTCCAGAGGCAAGTGTGACCAAGCCCTTAGATCCATCCAGTGCAGCCTTCTCACTGAACAGAACTTTCTCTGCCAACCTCTCGAATTCCTCTAAACGCAAGCGCCCGCCCCTTCACACATTGCACCCCCTCAACTTTTGTGACAGGCCAAGAGTCATATCTAAGACCTGCCGGCAGGTCAGGCACGTTGCACTGTCCGCACCTGATAGGTTACACAGAGGAATGCTCAATGTTTAAAAGCTTTAGCTTCATCAGTTTTGGGATGAAGCACCGGTTGTTCCCGACGGTCAGCACACGTCCATCACTGCAAAGCAGGGCCGTGTGAAGTCCTCCTGCGGAGACCTGCAGGGAAGCACTGCATCAGCAAGCTTGCTACTTTTATGCAGCCGCAGAAGATACATGCACTGAGGTGGCAAGAGACCAGCAGCGAATTTAATCTACGCATATCTACGCACACCACTTTTCAACTAAGTGAAAAACTCAGGGCATCCCTTGCAAATTTGCAAAGCCTTCGTGTACTCCGAATCCTCGAGGGACGGGATGCTACACCTTGGCGACTTTCTGCTCTAGAGTCTGGTCTGATCAGGCTAGAGGTGTACTGCTAAAATGGTACGCATAAGAACCACAAAAATGCAGTGCCACTGACAATCAGCACTCATCCCACAAGCACGATGCATCCTAGTTCCACTCGTACCATATCTAGTCTTTCATACACTTCTCGCTTTTTTTGCAGGACTGCGAAAACTGAGCTATGTCAAGCTAGTTTCGCAGGCGCACGGATGAAACAAATGAGGGTTCTAAGTGTTTGGGTGCTATAGGGTTCAATGGACTTGGTGCCTGTCTTTTCTTGGTGTTGGGATTTTTGGGTTTAGGGGTTCGAGTATCTAATCTTAAGGTCCACGTTCTTCTTGTTTTCGGGCGGGCAATGCTTTCGCCAATGCTTTGGCACCACACAATTTGCCCAAGAAAAGAAGACAAATTGAGCTCGCATTTGGGGGTGGAGCAATACAGTAAGATCGACCAAAGCATTTGACCAAACTTCATCCGTTCTTGTCGGTTGTCAGGCTCGGCGCCCTTTTTCATGCTGACATTTTGCAGCAGTGCTGCAATCGACATGTACTTATGTCGTTGATCCGTTAAACACACACGAAAACCACTGCAATATGTAGATTTCAGGGAACACTTGCTGCAACCGTTTGTGACGCAATGGTTCAGTAGCTGACACAGCCACTGGCAGCTGCAGTACGCCAAGAAGCTGAGCAAATAAGCCTAGCTCGAAGCCCCCTACGAAAAGCTTTTGCCTGAGACTGCCGCACCCAATGCTGCACGATATCACGAAGCGTTTTGGCATTCCACAGGAATGATGATTTCTTGAGTTCTACATTGGGATCAGCATGCACAATCTGCAGAACACGGTCGGCAGGATAGCCGGCGCCTGCTGCTACTACTTCTTCTTTCTCTTTCTCCTGCTGCTGCTGCTGCTGCCGCGAGGACCACTGCTGCTTGTTGTTCCTTCTCCACGCTTTTAGGCTTCTGCGTTAGGTTTCACAGCGCATAGGGTTTCCAGCACTGTAGAAGTTGAGGTTTAGGATTCTTTCAGATTAGGGTTAGGGGTGTGGGCGTGCGGATTTTTCTGTGCTCTGTATTCATGTCCAGTTTAAGGGTTTAGGGGTGCTGTGTTGTAGGGTTTGGAGTTGTTCATTGTTTAGGGTTAAGCTGTTCTAGGATTTAGGGTTTGCGGTTCTGCAGGGTTTACAGCTTGGGCGTCTTTCAGGTTTAGGCTTTGGGGTTGTTTGGGTTTTAGGGTTTTGCTGGTTCTGCAGCGTTTTGATTGTTTGCAGAGTTTTGCTTTGGGGCTGCTTCAGGTTTTGGCTTTTTCAATTTTTTGTTTTGGGATTCTTCAAGGTTCAGGATGTTGGCTGTGGGCATGTGGAGATTTTCTGTTGCCTGTAGTTGCTTGTGGTTTATTGGTTTGGGGTTTCTACGGTTTGGCGTTGATCATTGACTTGGGTTAAGCTGTTCTACGATGTGGTGTTTGCGGTTCTCCACCGTTTGCAGCTAGGGCTTCTTTCAGGTTTTTGGCTTTGAGGCAATTTAGGGTTTTGTGTTTTGGACTTGTTTAAGGTTTAAGGCATTGGCCGTGCGTTTTGTTTCCTGTACTTGTTTCCCTATATTCATGGTCAGTTTAAGGGTCTAGGGTTCTGTGTTTTAGGGTTTGGAGTTCTTCAGTGTTTAGGTTTAAGCAGTTCTGGGATTTAGGGTTTGGGGTTCTCCAGGGTTTTACAGCTTGGACTTCTTTCCTGTGTAGACTTTGAGGCTGTTAAGGGTTTATGGTCTGCGCATGTTACCATTCAAGCCTGGGGATTCTGCAAGGGTTTGGGTCGCTGCTTCTTCAGGCTTCGGGGTTTAAGATTCGGGGATGCTCTGGCTTTAGGAAATGGGCTGCTTGGACTTGGGGATCTGTGCTCTTTTAGTTTAGGGTTCAGGGCTTGGGTTTCTTCAAGGTGCAGGGTTTGCATTTTGCGCGGTCCAGATGTTTGGGGATTCAGGCTATCCAGGAGGTGAGTTCGGGTGATTGAGGATTCCGTATGGCTGGAGTCTTGGGTCTTGTAGACTCTGTCGGATTTCGGATTTTTGTCGCGTGTGTACGGTTTAGGGTTTGGGATGGTTTATGGTTTGTGTACGTTCAAGAGTTTGATTTGCAGATTTGGGTACTCCAGCGCCCTTGACCGGTGCTTCTCCACTGTTTGGAATTTTAGATTTTTGTAGCACTTAATGTTTGGGCCCGGTTGCGGCTCTGGGTCTAAAATTTCTTTGGAGCCACAGGTGCTGGCTTTGGTGCGCCTTGGGGTTTGGAGCTCTTTTTAAGGTTTAATGTGTGAAGAGCTTCAGCTTGGTGTTTCTCGATTGGGGTATATTGGGATGAAGGAAATAAAATGGCAACTACTATGATATTGGGGTTATATTAGGGTTTAAAGTTTAGGGTTTAGGAGTTACGGTTTCAGGTTCGATGGTAATCCGTGCTGATGAGGCCCCGGCTTGTAATTGCGCCTTACACATGCTTGATTTCAAGCAGCCCCTGGTAAGGGCATTCTCCTATGCAGCCACTTCCTCGTGAGTACGGTTTAGAGCCCTCAGCTGGAAGGGGTTGAAGGTTTTGGGTGGTCCAGAGTCAGTTTTTGACGGCCTGCAAAAAAAAAAAAAAAAAACACAATCTCAAGGCGACTGGCTCCCAACAGCTTCCTAGGCAAGAGGTATGACTGGCTTTAGTCGAAGCAATCGTAAAGAAGAATCATCATGAAACAGACCAAAGAGAGAAGTCCAAGTGAGCAGCAACAGAAGTCACAACGCCACAAGTGAATGCTCTTTCCTCTGGAAATGGTGGACCTGAAGCCTAGGTAACATGAAATGCAAACAAAATGGGGACCTCGTAGTCTGATGAGAATACGGCCACGAAGCAGGGGCCAGAAACAGGGGACTTCACAAAGGACAACAATTCCAACTCCAACTATCAGCTCCATCCTACTTGCAAACGCTTTTGAATCTTAGCCCAAGGCTGGCCGTAGCGATTGTCTCCAGCGGCAACCACGGTGCCATCGCTGAGCAGCCACACTACATGGAAATCACCAGCCGAGACTTGCACGTACCTGCCCGAAGATCATTTGATGGACATTTTGCGTCTGTTTGTGCATGAAACTACGCATCATGCCTGTCTAGGATCTAAGCTAGTCTTTTGCGCCTTAACTCCATCATTCTTTGAATTCTGCAGCATCTGTGTTGTTTCGACCCGCAACTTCTGTTGGATGAACAGCAGAACAGACATGAACGTTGCCCAGTCCTCTGGTTGTCTTGCAAGTCTGGAACTGTCAGCTCGTGAATTTCGTTGTCCGCTCTCCTTAGCCGTCACGGCATATGAACATGAGTCGCCCTCAGCCTGACGAGGAACATGGCATGCGAGTTCGGCGCAGCAAATCTAAAGCTGCAAGCAGGGGGCACAAACGTCTGGCCATCGCTGGTAAGCAAGACCGTATGAAACAGGCCTGCGCGGCAGGCACCACGTGGAGCGAAGACGCGGATCGCTTACTGCTATCAATACAAGGGAAAGCAATTGGACGAGACAGGTGGCCTGCGTCTACTTGGACGAATTTCCTGTCTCCCTCTAACTCAGGAAAGTCCTCATGCGGAGCACTGCGCAGCATGCGCAGAGCTTGCTCAAAGACTGGAAAGGGCATGACAGTATGAAACATCCGCATCTCTTGCAGCTCAGCGTCTGTGAGCGGAGGCAACGTATCTCCTATTGCTAAAGCCTTGCCATCGCTGCGCAGGAGCAAGGTGCGATCCCCAGCGGCAGAGACTTGCACATACCTCAGCTCCCCAGATACACAGACCCCCTGCAGCTTTCCAGGAAGTTACACCACGTGTGGAGCAAGCCCCGTCCCCTGTGCAAACTACATCGCTATTTCCGTCGTGTTGAAGCAGCACTCATCCCTTCAAAGCTGCCAAACACAACTTTGAACACTCGCTCAAGCTTTTCTTGATGCAAACATCACAGGAGACCCCAAGATCAGAAGACGCATGTGACGATACGCTCAACGACATGAACTGGCTAGAGACGCAAAATGCAAACCGCTGTGGAGTTGTGCAAACTATCCTGCATGAAGGCCTACCTCTCGGAGCCATTCGTACATCCACGATACTTAAAGCCATCATCTAAAGGTGGAACGTCGCATTGGCCAGCCTCAGCACTTGCAAGGGAAGAGGAGATCAGTTGAGCACATGCTCCAGTGACAAGATTCTGCACCAACGAGTGAAAGTCAGCGGATCTGCTTCAACTGGTTCGTGACGTGCGCCACAGGCAGAAATGGCCATCGAAGCTGTTGTGGTGCGCTGTGGTCTCGAAAAACTTTCAGACTCAACAGAAGCCATCCTCATGTCCCTTCTGCAGCTTGGTCGACACCCCACCCCGTCTACTCTACAGCCAACTAACAATCCAAGGAGAAAAGGAGTAAGCATTTGCGAAGGAAACGCTAAACTCTGGGATGGCCGTGCTTTCCCTGCAGACTTTGCCGAGAAGCCCTGTTGTCGCCACACGCCATGACATGTCCATCGCTACGTAGTAGGACGCTGTGTGCAGTGCCTGTTGCGACCTGCCCATCAAGTTACAAGGTCACCGCAGGCACTGAACCCAGCAAGCACTCGGGCAGGCGCGTAGGAAAAAGCACTATCCCATAAGACACGACCAACATCATGGTTCTGCTCCAATTTCTTGATTACCCTGGACCTCCAAAAAGGCATTGAGTGCCACAGAATTTCCATGTAGATACATAGTATGTACGTTGACTCTTAAGTAGCTATATGCAAAGAATTCTTGAGCTGAAGTAGTTCCTGGATACCATCCATGGGGTAGGGAAGAAAGCCCTGAGGAATTAGGATGGCTTGAATAGGGTAGGAGGGAACTTGCTGATTTTTTTGGAGAACCTATAGCCCCCCTTAAGTAGATAGAATATGGCTTTGGGTATTATTTACTAAGATCCCCATGTACCCCATATTCTACCTACTTAAGGGGGATTACAAGAATGAGACCCCAACGGTGCCTGCGCCACCTAGAGCTATTCCCTCAATGAAGCCTAGGATAGTGTACCCGTACTGACCTGTCCTTGTAGCTATATAGTATAGGGTTTAGGGTTTAGGGTTGTACATGCTATATACTTAGGGCCGAAAGGGGTTCTCATATAACTACTTGAAAACCCAAGGATATAATACAGCTACATGGACCCTTTGGGGAAGGTCTGATAGACAAGATACACAACATTCAGGCAGGGGAATCCCAAATACGTGCTCGGCTTTTCTGCGAGCGCAGTGTGATGCAACCGCTGCTTATCGGGGTTCCAAAGTGACAAGTTTGTCATGATAGAAACCTTCCACACCAGATTAAACTGGCCAGTTAACACAAAACTGAGAACCCACCGTGCAAGCACGGAAACATGTGGTGGCATTTTGCCGGGGAAAGCAGGCTTTGTTTCTACCACTGAACCCAAGTCACTTGGCCTGTACATACTCCAGGTTGCTGGGGATCTCTGGGATGTTGCACTGTCCGTGCTTGTTCGCCTCGGGCATACAAATCGACTGTGCCAGGCATGGGCCGCATCCACTTCTGGTACTTTTGCAGCTAAGAAGCCCCGAGGCCAAACGCACGGCCACTGCTCTGAAGCAGGACTGTATGCCGGCGGCCCATGGCTTGGAAACAGGAACAGCCACGCCTCCACCTACTGATGCTGGTTCTTAGCTTTGAGTGAAACTTCCCAACAAGAAGCCAGATCGCTGAGTTGGCTTCTTTGGCACAATTTCACTAGTCAACACTTAAACTGGGTAGAGTCTGAGAAGCCTGTCGGCTTCCTGTGTTCTGAGGCACGGAATCTGGTGAGAAATGGCTGCCAGGCCCCACAAACACCATCATGTGCTTCCCTCCAGCTAGGACTGCCTGAAAATAAGACTGTAGCAACAAGGATCCATTGCAGTGGAAGCTGGCCACAGGATGGACACCACTGGATGCACCGAACGTAGCAAGAAAGCTGGAACGCACGCCTGTGCACCAAAACCAGACGAAACCTCAGACAAAACAGTACGCAGCTGCCAGGCAGAAAGCCATTAGGAAATTTTGGGTCCGTGCGGCGAAGCCTGCTCAATGGTGGGAGCTTCCTCACTCCAAGACTTGTGATCTAAATGTTGTGCCAAGACAGGGGCAAAGTAAGCTACAGACCAACAAAACCTCGAGCTCAAGATCATCTTCACCATACAAGTTCACCTTCCTCTTTCTTTTCCGTGGCCGGACCACCTGCAAAACTTCAGGCCGAAGATTTACCTCTCGGGCTGCAGGATCCTCAGCAGCCTCCTCCGGCTCTTCGGGGTCATCATGATGTAATCGTCCAGGTGGCACCAGCGCTGGGGGCATGGTGGACGCTGATCACACACAACACATGCATGTGCTTGAGCCATGGAGCCGCACATGCAGGCACGAGGTTGTCTCAAAATAACTTCAGAAAGCAGGGAAAGACCATTTGTCTGGCAGAGCGCTGTGCCTGGTCAACCACACAGCTTCCTTCAACGCAGCAAATGTGTCGTGCAGGGCTTCACGCTTCCTGGCCGCAGGGAAGCTCACGAGAATCAAAATGCTGCGGCCCTACCCTCCTAGTCAACATACCTGTCCTGTTGATCACGTCTGCGACAGATGCATGCGCCTCATCCCTGAAGGAATGTGCCTAGGCTCAGGCAAGCAATCAACAACTTGTTTGCAAACTTGTGTGAATTTCTGAAAGCTGCCAGGATGCGTCCATCAGCTCGAAAAGGGCTTCTACTTGAAACTCCAATGACCGCAGCAGGGAAGCCAAAGGCTCGAAGCCGTGGCCGTGGCCTCCCTGGCACCAGGTTGGCCTTAGGCTCCCGTTTTGAGCTGTGAAAGATGCAGCAATAAGCACCTGACCAGCTGTAGCGCCCTGAGTCCACGCTTCTAGCGTCGAGGCCATGGTCAGCATAGTCTGTCAGCAACAGACCATCTGACACTTCTGACACTTCCTTAGGGCACACATGAGGGGAGTTAAGTTTGACCACATCTCCGAATGCGGGCACAGGGTCAGAGAAGGGAATCAACGCAGCCGGCTCTGGAGTCATCCCCTGCGGTCGCCGTCTGGCGTTCTGAGGCACGGCAAAACGGCCGCTCTGGGGCTTGTGCTTGGCCTTGAGTGCTTTGGACATTTTGGGCGTCCTCGGCGCTTTCGGAGCAGACACCACGGATGGTGCTTTGAGGTAAGCGTCGGTGACACCATCGAAGCCCAGCGTATCCAGATGCTCCACCAAATCGTGGAGCGGGCCCTTAGGGTTGCGGGCTCGGCCCATGGTGCGACTGGGAGCACCCCGTCGCAAAGTAGACGGAAAGTCTGCCGGGACCATTGGCTCCTGGGGTTCCTTCAGCTCTTGAGGCATGTGCAGGGATGGAGAGGAGCTCGATTTCAGGAGAGGACGTTGAGGAGGCGCAGCCCTCTTTTCAAAGACAACACCAAAACTATGCCGTTCCTCCGTCTTAGGCTCTGTCCAGGTGGGAAGCTGGTTTTGGGTTTGCTCCTGCTTTGGGAAGCCGTGTCGGGCATTTCGTACCTCTTCCGGCCAGGTGCTCACCTGCACTTGGGGGAACTCTGGCGTCCCACCCCGTGCCCCTACGGAGAGTGGCTCCTCTTGCGGCCTCAGATGGCAAGTGACACCGTTCATATTTAAAATCCTGCAGGACCATTGGGAACGATGACATTCTAGTAGTATGTGTAGGTCAGTCTGGATTTGGTATGCAAGATTGCAATCCGAGGCTCCTCCGCACGCCAGGCAGATCTAATCTGCCCGGTTGAAGCAGATTTGCCTTGGAACTTGTGATACGTCATCTCAAAATCTTACCCATCCGATTGAGACTTTAGAACTCAGTGCTGGTCCAGCCGTTGGGAAGGAGATGAAGCCTCAGAGCTTCTCTTGAAGCTTACAGCTACAAGGCCCGCGATTGTGGTTGCCTCGCTGTCTCTCGCGTTTTTGCAATGCTCAAGGTTTGCGCCACCTTTTCCCGACAACGGCTTCCAGATCGAATGTAGCACGGCGAAGCCAAATGGCTCCTGAAAACCCACGTTGAAAACTAAGCATCTGCTGGAGCCAGCGGTACGAGCGAGGCGTGCTCCTCAACCCACGCTTTCCTTACATCACAAACAGAGGCTGAAAACACATGAACCTCTTTGCGCCCACTCAAAGAAGTCCACGTCAGCTGAGGAGCAAAGTCCGCGTTGGCGGACAAAGCTCGAAGACTTCTGGGCTGCTGGGAAAGTCCAGCAGTCCCTCAAAGGCACAGCTTGATGGGAGATTCTCACAGTTGCCATGAACCAGCCTTGTCCCAGAAGTCGGTGAAGTTTCGACAGACTGCCTCTGCCAGCCAGCTGGGGAAGCCAGCCTGACATCATCTCAAACAGTATCCTAGCGTCCTGAATCAGCCTTTGCTGCAAGGACAGAAGCTAATGTTTAACTCGCCTGCCTTCTCAGCGTTGCTCCGCCACTCGTCTGGCGTTACCTGGACTGCCGCAACTGTCCGGTCCAGCGCTCCTGCGAAGTACCTCAGCTTGTGCCCTACAAGAAGCAAAGCCCAACCAAGCTCTTGCAGCCAGGCTACGAAGCCACATCCGTTGTGCTGACAGCCTCTGGCCCGCAAACGTCGTAGATCTTGCCTCAACAAGTGAAGAGAATGTTGACTCATAAGTGGTACATCGTAACAAACGGGAACAGTCCATGCTGCCAACATTTCTAGGGTATTCTGATAGTTGGGCCTCCTCAAACAGGACACTCTTAAGAACGACTGCTGAAAAAGGCACTATGCAGGGAATCTATTTCTCAGATGGTCCATGTTTGGGGATGCCTGGGAATCCACCTCAATTTCAGTCAAGGATCCCGCGTGCATCTTCCACTCCTCCTTGCTCAACATCAAGAGTTTAGCAGCCAGGTCGCCTCAAGCCAACTACGCAAACTCCCCAGCAGCTCAAAACGATGGCAGCGATGGTGAACGCAACCCCTATCAGTGCCCAAGATCACTGCCGATATCGCGTGTATCCACGCTTCGAGCCAAACTTGTGGGCTGCAAAGGATATGCGACCACTCCTGTGCAAAAGCAAGTAAAGTGACAATAAGCCTGAGAAGCAGCCTTGCGCAGTCTTGTGCACGACAGCCTTGCGGAACGGCTCCGAAGACATCTCCCATGTGGTTTTGCAGAAAGAAATTGGGCCTACCCAGTTGATAGCTCTGCGAAAGACTGCGCAGGCGTGAGCGGATGCCAGCCTCAGAACTGTCCATGCCAAACCCGTGGAAGCCAAGTGCTTCTCAATCTCTGCGTGGAAACCTGCAGAAGACGCTCGGTGCTTCCAAAACCTTTCAACATAATGCTTTGTGATCCAAGCTACGCCCATACTGCACGACGCTGTCCATGCTCGTGTAACCTTTCAACATCGTGGAACGGATGGCAATCCAACAAAGCGTGTGCCTAGTCCACTTCTGTTCAAAAGCACGATTGCCTCATCCTTACAAGCATACTGGGCAAACAGGTTTTTCGCTTGTCCGTGCAAAGAGAGTTCAGGTATCAACATGTAACCGGAGGTGAAGCATAGGCGGAATGCCTTCTGCGAACGCAAAGGAGAAGCAAACTGTTTGTTGAAGTGCAAGGCACCTGGAGCTCCGCAAGTTCCAAGCTTCACCATGTACTGACACCCGGCTTCACAAGCTACATCGATGAAGTTCTTTTCGTCACAAACCTGTGTTTCCTTAGCACCCAGCACAAATTTGGCACTACTTAATTAACTTAAGTGCCTACAACCTGCGTTCATCTGGTACCCAAACCAGTGCTGCCAAGGTACTGAGTTCGAACACCCCAGGAAGCATGCAACAATCCCGTCAAAAGCTAATGCAAGAGCTGCCTTGTCGCTCATGTCACCTGCACACAAGGCGCACAAGTTTGGCCTCTCAAGTCTCAAAACCTATGCGCGGGAATTTTTATGAATGCGACACATTTGGGCCACCTTGAATGCATGTAACACCAGGCAGATCAGAGAGCTTTTGCGCTTTCGCTGAAGATGCATCCCTTGACAAGATTCTCACGGCCTGCAAAACATCACAAGGTACATGAAGCACGAACACGCATCCACTAAAGACATTCTGCGTCAAGGTCGTGTTGTGGCTTAGCAACGTCGCGCCATCCCGGAAGATGACAGTGCTCGGACAACTGCTGAGCCGACATTCCCTGTTCCTCCGCCCACCAACACAGCTGCCATTGCTCAAGCCAATTATGCTTTTTTCAGCCAAACATTTTCATCACAAGAACATGTCACCTTACAAACTCCATTTGGATGTACACTGCACAGAGTGGGGTTCGAATCATGCAGCCCTGTCTGCCAGCAATAATCCTGCAGTTGTGCGAACCGTCTCTGCAATTTTGTGCGTGACAACGGACTGGCACGTCAATACAAAAGTGTGAATGATGAGAAGCTATATCCTGGGCCGCGGACTGCCTTCTCGGTGCCGAGCTGTGGCACCGACAAACTCAAGTCGGGAGACATCTGTGGACCAAATGCCTCCACAACAATGAGGCATTATCATCCGATGGTATTTAAAAAAAGCTCGCGCAACATTCACTAAGGCCCACACCATGTGTTCCGGCAACGAAATAGCTACAATTTAAACCCATTTTGCGCACATGCACAAGTTTTCCAAGAAGTACTACCGACGTGGGCAATGGTGGCTTCCTCGGCAAACATGCATTCTACGCCATCCTGCGCAAGCCAGGACTATCATGTGGTTGGATTTGATTGACAAGGAGATTGCGTGGTGGAACGCTTGAGCCAACATAAACTAACCTTCTAGATCTGTTGCGCAGGCAGGCAATCGCGGCCTTGCAGCACTTGCATTGAAGACTTCTCAAAGAGCAGTCCCAGCTGATCAGAGCATGTTCCAATTTCATCACTGGCGGCAAACGTGTGCCCACAATGCACCTGCTTGCTTTGAAACATTGTTAGGCGGAAGTTTTTTTTTGCAAAGGCGTGGCTCGGGCTTTTTTTGGCAGAGGCGTGGCTCGCTCCTTTATGGTTTTCGAGCGTTCCGAGCGCTGTAAATTACAGCTCTCGTTGGTCCTGGAAAGTGTCAAATGTTGTACATTACACCATATGCTTGTCTTGGAACGTCTTAAAGGCTTCAAATTACAGCGTTTGCTGGTCTTGGAACAACTCAAATGCTGCAAATTACACCATTTACTGCTCTTGGAACGCTTCAAATGCTGCAGATTACACTATGTGCTGGTCTTGGAACATCTCAAACGTTGCAAATTACAGCCATTGCTGGTCCCGGAACACCTCAGATGCTGCAAATTACCGCGTCTGCTGGTTTTAGAATACTTCAAACGCTGTGAATGATAACGTTCGCTGTCTTGGAATGCTTCAAACGAAGTACAGTATTCGCTGGTCTTGGAATGCTTCAAATCCTATATGCGACAGCGTCTGCTGATCTGGGAAAGTTTTGCATGCTGTAATTTACAACATATGTTGGTCTTGCAAGGGCCCACTCCTTCAACTCGTTCATTGGGAAAGGAGTGGGCATTTGGAAGCTTGGGTGCGGGCTTGGTGTTTCCAACTTACTTGCTGGTTGATATGGAAGGATGGAACTGAAAAGGAATCATCATATCATTGACGATTCTATAGCAGCTGAATTTAAGATCCATTCCCGGCTTACATTCGTACCTGGTTTAATTTTTACTCTGAAAAAATCGGGCTCGACCTGCGTAAGCCGCTCTACCTTCCCGTACTGAACCTGTTGATGGCGTGATATTTCATTGTTTTTGCATAAAAACAACGGGGGGATTCGGGAACACAGCCCCCCCCCCCCGTTTGCAAAGGAAATGATCTGCAGAACTTCCGTCATTGAAAAGAGTGGTGATGACATGATGCTTCCTTTTTTTGCAAAAATGGATGGTTTCAAAACAGCGGGGGGGGTTGGGGGGGCGCAGCCCCACCATTTGCAAACAAAATGATTCGCAAAACTTTCTTTTCCTGCAAAATGGTGATAACGTGATGCTTCTTCTTTATTGGAAGCATGGATGGGTTTAAAACAACGAGGGGTTTGGGGGGCGTAGTCCCCCCCATTTGCAAACAAGATGATCTGCACGATTTTCCGTCATTTCAAACATGGCGATGGCTTGATATGTTTTATTGGAGGCATGGGTGGTTTAAAAACAGCCGGGGTTAGAGGGGGCGCGACCCCCCCCCATTTGCAGACAACATGATCCGCACAACTTTCCGTCATTGAAAATGGTGAGGACATGATGCTTCCTTCTTTTGCAAACACGGATGGCTTCAAAACAGCGGGGGGCTTGGGGAGGCGCAACCCCATTTGCAAACAAAATGATTCGCACAACTTTCTTTTCCTGCAAACGACGTGATGCTTCTTTTTTATTGGAAGCATGGATGGCTTTCAAACGGCGGGAGGGTTGGGGGGGTCGCAGACCCCCTCTCTTGCATACAAAATGATCCGCATAGCCCTCCCTACCGCAAACATGGTGATGGCATGATGCGTCTTATTTATTGGAAGCATGGATGGCCCAAGAGGCTCCGAGGGTAACAGCGACGACAATTACGAGCATCGGGACCCCGACCCCCACGATCCCCGCGACTGTTGGCACGTTTCAAACTCCAAAGGATCCGAGGGTCTAAAAGCGATGACAGTTACGAGGATCGCGACCTCGAGCCCCATGAGCCCTGTGACTGTTGACACTTTTCGAAATCCAAGAGGATCCAGGGGTCCAAAAAGCAAATATGCCCGGTTTGGGGTTTCTGTTATCGGGAATACGGTTCAATGGGTATTGCATCTACCTCTAAGATTCAATATCATTTCCGTATCTCACTCAAATCACGTACTTTTATTTCCAAATCATGGACCACCAAAAACTCTTTCATGCTCACATCAATCATATCACAACTATTCTTCATCAAATATTTCCAGACATGACTGATAAATTTTCTTCAACTCAGAGATGCACGGATCTGTCCTTTTCACTCCCTCCACCTGCACTCGTGACGAATGGGGAACATGCTGCCAACGCACTGCTGCATTCGGAAACCTGGACAGCACTTCTGCCTGCCCTCCTCCCCATTCCCATCACAGGCAGAAGACGGGATCAACCTTTGCAAAGCCCACGAAGCAATCGAAAGCTAGTCTCGACGCAGCATCTTTTCATTTCATTCATTCGCCGCCAATGGTAACATTGGTCTAAGCGGGCAAGCA